ACAAATTTATGTGAGCAAAAACCAAATATACAAACAGACAGCGCAAAGGTAAAACAGCCTACTTACATAAGAAACACATGTAAGTAGGCTGTTTTACTTTTGCGCTGTCTGTTTGTATATTTGGTTTTTGCTCACATAAATTTGTATTCGTCTTTTTGCAGAATATTCTGTATGTTATTGTTTTCTTCTTAGGCCGTCATATATAGATAAAAATATTGATTCATATCAATTGTTTAAGAACATTGCCAAGTTACCAAACGTACATATATATGTTTAATAGTATTCAAATATAATAATAAATAAATGCACATAATAATCATACCGATTATACTGAGACCAAGTCCATCCGACCCCTTCTGAAGTTCGACAGGAAAAACGTGCATTTTCTCCACTCGTTTTTCCAATTCATATTCTGCTGAGGCAGCAACGGGGTCAACATCTTCATTTCGACGATCATAATCATTTACTGAGTATGTGGAGAAAACCTTTATTGGACCATTACTGAATTTAATTTTACTGTTTTTCTTAACGAATACTGGGTAATCGAGATCATCATCATCCTCATCATCACAATCTAATAGACCGGGAATCTCCATCCAGAAATTACCATCTTCAAAATAATGCACGCCTGAGTCACTGTATACCTCCTTCGGTGAAATTGGAGGATATTCTGGTATAAAAAATTGATCTGGATCGTTTAATGATAAATATGATCCCTGAATCGAATCAGTTTGATTTGATTCTGAATTAGAATTCAGTTCGTTTGTAGAAGAATGCTCAAGTTTTGATGGTCGTATGCTTTTCGAGCGCGGTGGCTGCGTTGGCAATGGTGGTGGTATTGATTTTATGGATTCAGACGGTGACCTAGTTACATCATTATATGATTGTGAATTTGATTGTTGATCGGCTTCTTCTTTTTTCAGAGAAACTTGACTAGAAACTGAGTTTTCTCGTTGGTGTTGAAGCAATTCCTCAACTTCTCGAGCTTCTTCATCTGATAATATTGACTGTTGTCTGCAATAAATATTTTGATATTGAATTGGTTTTATCTATAAACTTACAAACTTAAAATACTAAATAAGTGTGAGTTGAAAATTGTTGAAAATGTTAGTATACCTCTGCAAACATGTTTGTGTTTGATAATTAATTTATGACACTGCAAGTACTTACCCAATTTTGCTTTCCAAAATTCTGTACTTATAGTTGTCATGATCGAATAGTGTATATCAGTATGTGTAATTTTTACAGTAAGAACATGAAGGGACAAAGCCATATTCGTAGTGTGAAACAAAAGCCAAATTCATAAAAAATTGTATGCATAGTATATTCATTACACATCCCAATTACACAACAGTATTTATTACACATCCCAATTGGGTTCATGCGCAGCAGTATACGTACATTGTATATAAAAGGCACATATATATATGGAAAAAATAAAAAAAAAACATAGCGAAAAGAAGGCATTCGATTAAATACAATAACAAAACTACTTTTTAAAGAAAATAATAAAATAACATATTCATACAAATATACATAGTCACAAATAAATTACTAGATGGCTATGAGTTCATTTCAAGGCAAAAAATCAAGTTGAATATTCGTGTTTTTCAGTTTTATATCACATATCTAAGTTAATCACAACTGAAAAATAAAGACATCAGGTATTATTGATACCACTCAACGAATTGATTCGCATAGAGAAAATTTGGGTAGAATGATGCACTTTTGTTGAAACAGTGTTTGAAAATAAATATAAAATCGCATCTTTCTTCAATATTTTCCCGGGAAAACAAAATGCTACCCAACACTCTCAGTGTACTCAGTGTAATCCGTGTCTCACTCTATCTTCCCTACATATTTCTGAAGCGAAAATCCTACAATGTTAGCAAATCGTTTGTATTGAGACACATCAAATTCAGAACGTTCCTCAACGATGTATAATATTTGGTAAAAATATTTTATTGTTTTTTTGTGCTTCTGTTCAATCAGTAGTGTGAAATTAAAAAAAGGATGAGGGCGAAAATTGAGTCAGTGGAAGTGCCATGAAAAGTCACTTTGAGACGCGCGGCCAAAAATGATTTTCAATGGGCAGTATTTTCAAAATACTATTTTGATTTTTGACTCCCATGAAAGTCAGTTTCACATTGTGGGTGACCGCAACGTGTATTTCACAAGATTTACTTTCTATGCACAGTAAATAGAAAATCTAATATTTTTTATCTGGAGTCCAAATTCCTAATAATGTATGAACACATGCATTGACAAGCAAGAAATATTTGATATGGTAAAGCCAAGATGGTACTTTTAAAAAATAAAGAGATATTTTATTCGTGACACGACCTGGTTGTCAGGCCAAAGACTTATTGAACCACCAAATATGTATATTGCTATAGCAAATTTTACTTATATTTAGTTTTATTTCTATTTGCTGTATAGAGAGAACATCAAACGACAAATATATTTAGCATAATCAATTTTAGACAGTAACACTAATAATTTAATAATAGAATTGTTAACAAACCTAGAACTCAACAGTCGATCAGCCTCGTAAGATGTCATTGCATCTGGTAGATCCTCTTTGTCGCTAGCATCAGCGAATTCTACATTATCTAAGTTGAATGAGGAATCACCATCCGGTAAATGTACATCATCGTCGTTTATATCGAGATCTTTTGTAGCCGAACTATAAATTTGTTCAAACTTTTCGTCAATATCTGACACATTATCATCATTTGGATAACCGTCATCAATGCGATAATTTTGTTTATCTGAAATCAGAAATCGACATTAGTCATTAAATGTGTTATAATGTTTGTATACTGTGTATATTGACTTTTTCTTTTTGGTAGGTATATTTAAAATCATTAATGTGCGAGTACAATTTTCACAAATTCGTAGCAAATAGAAGGTGTATTTCGCTTGTAAAATCCTAGCAAATCACATTACCCTCATAAACACGATTAACACACAGTGCCAATTTAAAAGGCGGTATTTCAAATGTATTAAAATAAAAGTATCATACCAAATGGAGGAGACAAAGACGATGGCTCTGATTTAATGGCGGCATAAACAACAGAATCTGCCACCGGATAGTGTATAGTTCGTTTATCACTTCGTTGGCGTTCAACGCCTCCATTACTAATTCCATTTCCATTGTTGTTTTGTGCCAAATCATAGTTTTCATCACTAAAACACTGTTTACTTTCACTACCGTCGGGATTCAATCGATACCCGAAGTCCACATAGTGTAACGAATGCTGATTGGAATCATCAGTAACATCGATATTATCAAGAGTATTTGGCGTGGATGATGTTGTTTCATGTGAGTAAGCCGGCTTTAATTTCGCTTTTATCTCCGGTGAAGGCTCATTAAATCCACCTTCATCTACGCTGACTACACTTGGAAAATGTGATGATGATGATGATGCAGAGCTTTGAATCGTCACAATCGGTTGTACAAAAGTACTATTTAAATATACAAAACGAGGCTATTATTTATCAATCGTTTGTAAATCAATAAATCCAAACTTACGATCGTTTTGAAGAGAAAATGTCCTCCGTTTGTTGATTCTCTGAATTCAACTTTGATTGACGATCTGTAATAGAAAATGATTACAAAATGAAAACCAGAACTAACCAATGACTTCAAATTAGGGGTGGATCATATGAAGAAATGCAAAAAAAGAATAATACCACGACATTGGCAGAAACGTTTTATGCTCAAACACATTTTGTACAGGTCCAAAATATCATATTTAGTTGTATGTTGTAGAATATTTTTAAATGAATTTATTTTACGTGGATGTAAATCTTAAAATCACTTTTGTTCTCACAATAATCTTTGCATAAAGACACGCTTTTTTGTCTTCAGATATAATTAGTTATTACACACTGTTATTGAGATAATATTAGTTAGTAATATTTATAAAAAATAGGAATTTCAGTCTTTAAAATAATTATACATTGCTCCCGAAAAAAATTTATGAATCGGAAAAAAGGGAAAATATTTGCGAAACATAAATTTTTATTTTGGAAAAAAGTCTGAATTTTGAAAATTTATAATAAAAATCAAAACCAGCCTATTCTGACAAAAACCAGCTAATTCAAAAAATCCTACAAAATCTAAATATTTCACATTCTCAAAAAATACTGGAATTTTTCCTCCTGTAAATTTCTAGTAAATTGGAATACCTTTCAAAATTCTGTCTTAATATTTTCGAAACCCGCGATAGCTTCATAGTATTTATTTATTCAAAATATACCAAAAATATTTAAAGTTTGCTTTAATTCTGCCGCCATTTAAGAGAAAAGGTGTACTCATTATCAATTTTGGATGGTATTATGGAAATAAAACAAAGTGTTACAGCTATGAAGATGCCACTACTAAATAGTAAATACTTGATGTAAATGAATTTCAGCACGATGTTTTTTTTTATTTCTACAAAATAAAACAGCGAAAATTCAGATATATATCTTTAACGGTTTCAAAATGGCGGTTCTTTTGTCTTCATGTACTCAAAACTTCAATCTATACTCTAAAAATACTTAGAAGATAATTTTTTTTTTCAAATGACACATTTATTCATATCAAGGATAATGTTGAAAATCTTAATATGCGTTGATTTCATATGTAATGAAAAAGCTATAGCTAGCGTTTACTTCGCTACGCCTGCGTATTTAAGTTTTATTCTTTCAATATGCTTCATACATTAGGAAAAAAAACACAATCATCTTGAATATCATATAGTGCACTGTTTCCTTTTTCTTCATTTTCAATGATGTTTTATTAACTGTTTAATTGCCATTTAACTAACTTTATAAGATTTAGTTCACACAAAAAATAAATTTATATAATGTTTTTTAAAAATTCAATGGCAGTTTTTCTATTTGATGAGTATGAATAAATTCGCGATCACATTAGAAGACATTGTACGAACACATGCGATCGAATAGACTGAAAACTTGATCACAAAGTGTGCACAAGTCAAATACAAAAATAAATGACCGGCAAGGCGAAAATGTGTTGTCGCTATTTATTCATCAACTGACACCAGCACAGCTATTCGTGCATATTGTGTGAACATAAGTCGACCTCAGACTACTAGTATTATTTGCGTATAACATAGAATAATTTTCAATACAAACGTACTAAGATATTTATAATTTTCTTTCTTCTTTGCATCAGAAAATAGTAAGGATAAATTAAGTGAATATGGAAATATTCCGAATATTGCATGAAAACCAAATAATTTTACGCGTTTCTTTTACAATTGTTTTGATTTTAAACTTACATTCAGTGATGATTTCGTCGTATAGATCTGTTTTTTCGTTTGATTCATTTTCTTGCTTCTCATCCTCTGTATTATTTGGACTCGATAATCCCGAAATGCTAAGACCAGAGCTTGGTGATGAGCTAATTGGTTGGACTTGATGTGACGTAAATGATGTATCAATGGAATATTTTCTAACCTCGGCGTATTCAACAGATGTAGCCGAATTGGTGGATTCTTCAATTAAATCAATTGAACGCTTTCGTCTTTCGGGTAGCTCTACAATATTGTTTGCAGTTTCTGCTGTTGACACTGAAGTTGTTTGTTTTATTGGACTGGCGTTACTAGAAGATCGTGATGAATGACGTGGTTTTACATCGGGTGGAATGGATGAAGATAACTGTCGAACGGGTGGACTTGGAGGTGGTGAAGATTCAGGAGATACCGAAGTATCAATTGATTTTGAAGAAGAACGATTACGTTGTAACTCTTTAGTAACATGTTGTGTTTGGGGCACATTCGAAACTCTAATTTCATTATTGGAAAATAAGTACAAACAAGAATTATAATCATTTTAAGTAGGAACAAACCAAATTTTTATAAAATATTTAAAAACCAGATTTACCACAGCAATGAAATCCCTACTATACTTCAAAAAGAGCTAGATGATGACGACAGTTGTGATGGGATTTTTAAATTTATTTGAACGACGCCATGTTACTATACTAGTCCATTATAACGTACATGTAACAGAAGAAGCACACAGTCCATGTCCACGATAGTGGACATAAATGATTTTAAGAATATATATGCAACCGTCAATGTGAACTAGATTGAATTTGGAAACATACGATGAAAATGACTTACAAAGTGTGTTTCAAAATACTATGACTAGTGTCGACATCATTCTGACTCAAAATTTTGACATTGAAAATACATGTAATGGGTGTTACCGTTTCATTGCTGCGAAATTTACAAAATTTTTTTGTAATTTTTTTCGTACATTGTAAATTTCACTGTGCGTCATTTTTTAACTTTTAAAATGTGACAGAAACGAGACCCACCGTTTTTACATAATTTGGGTATGCTGATTTCAATGGCATCACCCGTTTTTCTCTATCACGTCAGGATTTTCCACAATTTTCCTAGAGAGTTTTCCGGAAAACCAAAATTGGCTGTTTATACTCTAGTAACATTTTGAATTCATGCAATATCCCAGAGTGGTGACCTATCAGGCGTTGTAGT